CAGCCGCCGCAGCAGCCGCAGCCGCAGCCGCAGCCGCAGCCGCAGCCGCAGCCGCAGCCGCCGCAGCCACCATGAGACAATGGTGACGACGTCCCCCACGCAAGCGGTTGGGCCAAATATCTGTTAGTATCACCTACTCACACGCCATCCTGGGGTGGATAGCATGTTTTTAAGAATTACGGCCCGGAAAATAACGAGCATACAAGTGGATGGTAGGGTTTGTCCCTTATTCGTGTGCGTGATGATCAGCCACTCACTCAATCCGACGCAAACCTTGGGGGGCTGATTGGAGGGCATAATTAGATCTTCTCCGGCAGGCAAGTTGCTGGATGCGGGCCGCCAGCGTCATCTCTTTCAGATCGTAGGGTCGTGCAAAATAAATTGTGCTCTGCAGATTTCGCTTTCCAGCCATGCAGATGGGCATCCTTGGCAACCAAGCGTCCGTCAAACACCGCTGTTGTTAGAGCGGCTGGGCCTACTGTGGCCGGGATTGCGTCCCCCATTGTCAACACATACTTACTGACGCATTGGAGGGCAAAGAACCAAGTCAAACAAAAGCTCTGAAGAAAGCATCACAAGCGTCCACATGTCCATCATCGAGCCGGCCACGTGTGAGAGAGGCAGGTACGACAGAATCCGCGCTGGATATGCTGGCGCAGGGCCGTGGAATCATGTATGAAATAAAAACTTTGCCAGCTTAAGTACTGTAGGATAAGTTGCAGTAGAGGACCCCATGAGCAAAGTAATGCAACACAGCTTGCGAGTCACAGCAAGCAGCCTGACTAGTGCCACTGAAGCAGCCACAGCAGCCTTCCGATCTGTACCGACCCTAACTACCAACGCCTCACGCAGGGGGATGCCTGTCTCTGCTTTTGTTTGGGATAGTGTAACATTACTGGCAAGCGCCTGAATAGCAGGCTGAAAACTTGAGACCCGCGAAAAGAGCGCATAAGTCTGCCAACTCTGAACCTTCCCGTGCAAGCCCAGGTAAAGTAGGTTTGAGTTCAGAGCTACTTTCTACCGAAGGCGCCTTTCAAGGCACCTGTCTGGTCTTGCGCTGACATGGAGGTGATGGCAATTGCCGCATCGTGGTGCACCATCACCTGTGTACTATGCTACGTCTTGATCCCTTCTAATCATGCGCGCAATAGCTTTTGCACTCAGCTAAGGCTGGTGCCGCTTTCGGGTTACCCGTAGTGCCGGAGGTGTAGATGATGCCCATGGCATGTCCAGGCCTGGTTGCCTGTCAGGATTTTCAGCACGCTACAGTAATTCGTGCTTTTGGGAGATGGAACGCTCGGGTGGCGTTGTGCAATGAGTAGTGGCACATATGGCACCTGCTTACGCGTGGCGAGGCTTTCGTCCGAGCCCTGGGTTGATCCAAAATCCAGGCAGTCCTCTCAAGCTGCAGGTTTGGGTCCCGCAGCGGAAATGCCAAGCACATGCTCGAATGGCACGTTGCAAGTGACAACGTCCTTGAAGGTCATGACTCTGCACACGCTGCCATCCTTCCTGCTGAGCAGAAGATGAACTCATGACTACAGTTTTGGCGGGTAGTGCTATCTTGCCTCCCTGTGGCTGCTTGATGCTGCTTGCCAAGCATTGGAAATGACACCTAGAATCCCAATAGTTGGAAACCACAACGAAGTTTAGTAAGCGCTATGCTTCTGCAAGCCGCCAAATGCTGCACGCGTTCGCTACTTCATCCATCACATGGCCTTGTCAGCTGAGCTGGCGCCGGTATGCCCCAGCATACGATGGCGCGCAGCTCTGGCAGCTCCTGGCTCGTGCTTTGCTTTACCTTTATCACTTATCACCAGTGGACAACAACAGAATGCGCGCCTCTATGTGTTTGGCTGTGGCTTCAAACTCCATTTGCCCATCCACGACCATGACCTGTGGAAGCTGTTGAGCATGTGGAAATCCCAGCTGCAGATGAGCTACATGTCGTGTGTTGCGTATTTCCAACCAAGACATCAAGAGACATCAAGGCCACACACCGCGCACATAAACATAATCGAACACCGAAAATGCAAAATGATGCGCACGCCAAAGGGGAAATCTCTTCACATGAACCGGTGCCAAACCCCATGCTCCCCATTTGCATCCATTTGCTGCTTTAGCACGATTGCATGCCGAGGCACTGCTGCGTTTGAATGGTCAACCTTGTATTGCACCTGGCCGCTGGCTGCCATCAAAGGAATGTGACATCTATGCACTTACGCAATGTGCCTCTGCACTCAGTCCCGAGCACGTATCTCAGCATCTCAGCTTTGCATCGACGCAAATTGCAAACCTGGCCTGTTCTGGCGTGTCTGTGGAGTAGATTCCCACGTATTTGCCTCATGTTGATGTAAGCGTGCCAGACAATTTCCTTGAGTTCTGAGTCTTGGACTTGCATATGTTTTTGCACAATTCAATAACTCTCAACTCCAAGCCGCCGCCACAAAGCATGGCCGCCAACGCGCTGACCATCCATTCCGGGGCCTTAGCTATTTGAAGGCCTGGATCGCGTTAGAAACGCATCGCAGGAACAGTAAGCACGGCCGACTGACAGCTCTAGCCAAGATGCGTTGAAACCAAAAATTGTTACACTGCCAAATTGTTCCACGCCCAACCTCGGATGACACCGGGCGAATTGTCATGCCTGCATTCTACATCATCTGTCTGTCAAAGACACGTGCAGAGCCAAGTCACTGAATGAATGCCTTTGCCAAACGGCATGCATCTTCGTAGTAATCTTTCCACGTCCATTTCGCCCATGCCTGAAACATGCTCACGGTCCGTGCTTTTGTTCTTGAAGGCTTTCAAACTAGCACCTCCCAGGGCAATGCGGGAGCTTCGCCGGGACGGATGGGAGCAGGCACTGGCTTCTCGGAAGCTAATGCAGGAACCTGCGATCTGACTCTGTTTGAGCGCCAATCTGCAAGTAGACAAACTGATGACATTGCACTTGGAAAGCAAACATGTGCTGTCCTGGGGGAAGTTCTTCGCAGCTTGCTCCAGAAAAGACGTAAACAACGTCGACCTGTTTTCCGCAAACACGATGCCATGCTTTGCGAGATGATGGGGTGGCTGGTGATTCGGGGGATCACCGGAAAACCGCGTGCATATCGCCACTTCGTTTGAATGCGTCCCATATTCTAGAGATTGTGCAAGAAAACATTTACAATTCATGCAACAAAGCAGGCGAACAAAGGGATGGTGAGCTTTCCACGCAGGGAATTGTGTGGATAATTGAAGGAATGTCTGTTCTCACAGGGGAAATTGCTGAGGTTTGTCATTGGGGTGCTAATTTCCACTGAGTCTCAAATGTTTTTTTTGTTGCGTGCAACGCCTGACTGAAATGGCTGCAAGACCCACTTCCCTTCGAAACCAAAATTTCTGAGAACAATAAAACATCCCCACCTCCTGGTCCCGCAAATGCTTCCCATCATTGTTGTAACACATTACACATACATCAACCGTGAACAAAGAAAACAAGTGCATGAAACGGCTTATGACCTTGGTTGGGCTCCCGGCGGGGTTTCTTGTGCCGACATTATTCCCACGTCGGGATATGGCCACCTTGTGGGCAATGGAAGATACAACATACACACTGCGCATGTTTGAAGTGCGGTCGTGCGACTTGTGCTCATAGTCGGGGAAAACGCCGAAGTGCTCGCCCGGCTCGTACGCTGGTATCTGGGCATCGCGCGCCAACCGCTGGCTGCTCATATCAATCCTGTTGCTGCAAAACCATGTCCAAACGATTCTGCAGCGCCTCACTGCCTGCAACAGCGATGGGCGCTAAGATGTGCCGTGTGACGACCTGCAACAAGTCATGCGCATGGATTAGTTGCCCCTGCCCCAAAAACATCGCAACATTTCGCGCCTGCACTCTCTCTGACATGGCAACCGGCAGCCTAAATGGAATTAAAATTGAAACGAGGCAGGGCCGAAACTCCAAGCCGTGGCAGTATGATCATGGTTGCGGCCAAAATCGCTGAATAAAAACGCTAAAAACAAATAAAACAGCGCTGAAGGCACATTGGAAGTCTGCGATACCAACTTGGCATATTCATTCAAACGTCCAACAATAAAGCGGGTGGAATCTGCCGACCGACACTGGCACTGCAAAGACTGCAATGGTTGTTTTTTCATATGGCCGGCTGTTGGTGGTGTGCTCTGTCGGTGCTCGGTCGATTTTGGTGTTGTGATTTCTTCTGCCGCGGCCCTCATGTAGAAAAACAAGGTCAAGCTGGGAACCCGAAAACCAACCGGGAGATAAAACAGCCTGGCGGAGCAGTAACGGCCAACAGCTACAGCTACCAGTCCAAACCCAGTGTTTTGCCCCCGTGCAGACGATATAGAGCGCCCCGTTTGATTGCAGCACCGACGATGTTGCGCATGCCCCCTTTGATAGCATGGTCCACCACCCCCCCGCACAGACGATATCGCCCACACCCTTTTTAAAATGGCAGTGGTCCAGCACCCCCCGCACGCAGACGATATCACGCACCCATGCACCGTGGCCACACGATATCGCGCAGCCCCCCCTCGCCCCTGGTACACCCTCAAACGATATCGCGCGGCCCCTCTGGTCCACCACCCCCGGGGCACACAATATCGCACCGCACCCCACCCCTTTGTCCAGAGCACCGCGCACGATACAACCCGTGCAGACGATATCACGCACCCATGAACCGTGGCCACACAGTCTCGTGCAGCGCCCCTGGTACCAACCCCCCCCCCCGCATGAATACTCCCGCACAAATGATATCGCGCGGCCCCCCCTCCGCGCAAACCTCCCGTGCAGACGATATCGCGCACACCCCCTTTGATTGCAGTGGTCCAGCACCCCCTGTGCAAACGATATCGCGCACAC